TATGATAATAATCTTATATATATATATATATATATATATATATATATATATATATATATATATTTGTGTGTGTGTGTGTGTTTGTGTGTGTGTGTGTGTGTATTACTACTATCATTTTTATGTTAAAACAAACAAAAAATATGTTTGAGGATATTGCAGAAATAACTGCAATTTTAGTTAGATCAACCATAATTTGTTTCTGAATGCATCGAAATCTATTAATATTTTTGTTTTCGGGGATAATCGCGCTAGTAGAAAAAAATATTGTGAGTGTATTGATAAGACAGTCGATGGAATGACTATAGATTTAATAATAGAATAGAGATATCCCACAAATATGAATAAAATGAAAAGAACGATAGAGATTGGTGATGTTGATAATATTTCTAGAGACAATGCTCGAAATAGTTACTTACTTTACTTACAAAATACTATATTTCTGAGTATATCAAAGTATATTCTAAACAGTTTCAGGAATTATCAATGTTGCATATTTCTTAAGTTGTTGATACAACATAAATAAATCTAGGAACTTTTCAGCATATCTTTAAATATATTCTGAGAAATATACGGAAAGTATTTTGGAATTTTTAAAACTTAGACTTTGGTCAGCGTTTCATTTACCAGCTCCATTTTTATTTGCACAGTTACTTATTATGCACGTCCGAATTTGATTTTTTCAAGTATTATATTTAATTGAAAATAGAGCGAGATAGAGTAGTAGTAATCTTTCTAGGTGCTTTTTTAATATTTACTCTCTCCGAGTCCAGTGCTCCTTCGGACCGAATTTAAGGTTCGTCGTAATCTATCGCTACGCCGATCATGTTTTCTTGGGCGGGGATTATTTTAAACCTTTTTACGCGGAAAGAGCTTAGAATACACTACACGATAAAACTTACAAGTGTATATCATATTGACGATGCTTTCCATGCTCTGTAGCATTTTGCAAAATACAACTTTATCAAAATAACAAGTTAATGGACCACCTAGAAAATAAACAAAATATTTTATTATTAAAACAAAAATCCAAATCTAATGGCGTACATCGCATAGATAACGGTGGATTATTGAGGGCGAACAAATCGGCCCCTCGTGTGCTTGAATCCTGCAAAATTGACTTTAAAGAGGATTAAGCACCATACAAATCGAAAGTATAGTAACAGTGCATCAAATATAAAATGCTTTGTTGTTATTATTAATATTCCTGTTATATATCAAATAATCGCACTGCATCGGATGTTTATATATGATACTTAATTTATAATAACAACACCGACCATAGAGGATAAAAGCATGCAAACCGAGTCGAGGGACGCGCGCGTGGAATAAAAGAGTTGGTCACATTCAGCTCCAGCCGGCCATTTCTCCTCGCTATTTTCCAGCGTTCTGCTCCGTAAGTTTCTCCAGAAAAATTTTTCCCTTCATTTCCTATGTAAATTTCTTCGTACCTCTCCCTCAGTGTGTGCACGCGTACGGATATAACGCAAGCACTTTACTTCTCTGTTTAAAGAGCGCTCTATATTTGCAGACGTTGCCTGCGTGTTAAATATACAGAGACATTCTGACTCGCCCACGAGAGATCTACTTCTCTTCCTCGGGACCTCCTCGGATAAATTGCGAAATCTGCCGTTGGGACATTTTAGAGAGTGTTTACGGCGCGATTTTTTATTGACATCAAGCACACTCGACTGATCCTGGTGTGGATCGCGATCGTAGGTGGAGCCGCTCTTTTAAGAGAAAGGAGAAGATCACTCTAAATCTCTTTAGTCTGGCACTTTAAAACGCGCAGTAAAGTTAACTATCGCGACGTCCTGTCCAGCGAACGCGACTCGTTCGCCCGGTTTTACAGTCTGCGGACTTCCGCTTAGAGAAACGCGAAAATGGATACCGGCCAAGTCGCATCAACGTAAAATATTTTCTTACGGAGATATGTCTTCCGATCGACTCCGTGGGATGTTTCTCTACGGTATATCCCTCTTGCGAGCAAACATCACCGGTTTATGTGGCGCGGGTAGATGCGAAACGGCGTTACCGTGCCAGAGCGAGAGCGATAACACTCGAAAGGTCAAACAATTGTGGAAGTTTAATTTCTGCCGCATGCTGCGCAATACATTTCTGTTTGAACATATTTCCTGATGGTTGTAATTGCGAGCTATTGCTTATGGGTTTGCGTAGTAATCTGTCTTGGCAGGAGCTGAAGTGACAGTACAAAGAACGCGATCCATTAAACGCTACAAATTTTATGAAGCGCCATATGGACATAGCTTTTATTTTAAGCGTTTCAAGTGTAAGGTCTTAATTAATATTTTTCATACCATCATACCTTACAGGCTAACATTTGCATTTATTACTTTACTGTTTCAACAACGAGATTGTGGTATATAATAGAAAATTTTTAGTATCTTTAAATCTTCGAAGAATTATAAATACTTTCTTTTCTTTCATCTGAAAGATATTTCAAAGATGTATAATCAAATTTGATGAAAATGTAAGAAAAATGTTATTCTATATATTTCTATATATTAGTGCAGAAAACATGAATACAGCCTATGTGAAATTGTCAAACACAACGAATTCATGGCTAAATTATCAATAAGTCATTATCTTACAATAGTTTCACCGTAAGTAATCGTCACTTTGAACGGTAACTTTATATTTTTACACACGACACACACAACTAGAAATGAATATGTTCGGTTGAAAATTTTTAGTAACTCTCGATCTAGAAAATAGCTAAGCATATCTGAATCCTGGTGCGAAATTTTAAGCATACGGAGGTGCGTCGTGACGCATTTGGCGGAGTGAAGAACGACGACTCGGACAGACGAAGTAACTTGCGGTGCACATACTTCTTCATTTCTATAAGTAGAAAATGTTTTATGTATCGCGGTACTTTTTATCTCCGTGGCAGATATATACTTTTATTTGCGGTAAGAGACGGTAACGTGACAAAGGGAGTAGAAAAAAGAAAAAAAATATATACATATATATTGTATATATGTACGTATATATGTATGTATATATGTATGTATGTATGTGTACGTGTATGTGTTATTGAGGGGATCTGGCGTCTTTGGAGTTCACGATCAATTCCGGTCACGAGTCCTACAATCATCTCGCGGTACAGTCGTCGGATTATTCTGGCTGACGGCGCTTCTTGGTAGCTTTCAGGTGGTCCGAGTCGAGCGGAAGTACGTACGATAGTTACCGGGCGTTATTGACGTGCCGTAGTTACTGACCGTCGTGTGGATGGGTATGTGTGCACGTGTGTATATGCGTACGTGTGTGTAGCGTAGTTAGCGGACGTTGCAAGTTTTCGTTAGTTACTGTCCGTTATGAGCATCCGGTACGTACTAATAGTTGTCGACGTTGAGTAGTTTATTGACGTCGCAAACTTTATAACGCCTAATTCGATGTAGGCGTACGTGCACCCTACCGATGTCGCAATCAACTGCGTTACGACAAAGGTCAGGTTAATAGACATCTTCTCGTTTCAAGTTTTCAAGCCGATTTCTCGCGTGAGACCAGCATCCGCTGGTCGCGCGGATACGCGGATTTCGCCGCGATAAAATTGATTGTGGCGCGGTAAGGCACCAAAATATAAAATCGCACGGACGTATCTCGAGCGGCGGATTTGGAAATTGTAAAACATATATGCACAGATGCACAGACTGTACTAGCAGACATAGCGATTCTTTTTACGAAGGAACGAAATTGTATTTGTGCGGGATCGTCGCGAAACGTGAAGCGTTATATCTGCGGTGATATGAAACCCAAGCGTCGCGAATAGAAGTTAGCAAAATTGCAAATACGATATTTTGCTGAAAATCTCACTAAATATTGCGAATGCGCACCGAACCGAAACGTTTGAAAACTAATTGAAAGTCAGAAAGCGTGCTTTCATTGAAGTACTTTTTTTCGAGATCTCCCGCTAAAAATTTACGCAAGCTGCTAGAACCACTGTTGGTAAACTCGCAGGATCTATGTGCGCACACTCGCTGGGGAAAGGCAAATTTTTCTTTTTGAATTACACGCGCATCGCTGTAATAACTATTATAACGTCACTGCACTAAATTTGCGAGTGTTAGAGCATTATTTGGCGTAGAGAATAAAAGACAAAAACAAACGCAATCTCGCGTTTTATTCATCGTCCGCCATTAACCCATTTTTACAAAATGGATGCTAAATTTCGCCACATTTCCTGAGATGTTCCGAGCACGTGAGACATCTCTACTTTATTTCCGGGGGTGATATTTTCAGGGCGATAGGGGTGTACATACAGAATTAAGGCATGGACCATTAATGTATAACGGGTATTCTCGGTTGCGAAGCCAGCAATAGTTACGCGCGGTAGTTACTGTTTGTATTCTACGGACATATCAGTAGTTGCAGATTGCCATGTCGAGCAGTAGTTACTAACCGTTATGAACGGGCAGTGATTACTGTTCATTATACACGGACAGTAGTCACGACTGTTATGGCTAACAGTGACAGCTATGTTGCCAATCTATACTCCAATTACCGTGTTATACGAAAGCCATGTCAACGTTCTTCTCTCTTTTTGTTTTTTTTTTTTTTTATTTTCATCAGTATCTCTGTAAACCCGGTCGAAAACGTGCGGTCTAGAATTTCAAAAAGTACAAATAACTAAAAGAAACAAGACAAATTAATAAACATGAAGTAGTATGTTTTCCTAATGTACATAATTAATTTTTCTCGCGCGGGCATGTGTGTGCGGCCATTTAATTTGCATCATATTAAATTTTAGTGGTAGATATCAAGACTTCTCTAAATGAATACGGAAATTACTAGAGAATGGAAATTGTTACACGCGATTTAATGAAAACTCGATTTTTCGTCAAGCGGGCGGGAAAGATTTCGCTCGAATTATTTCAAACGAAATTTGTCACCGAAGACATGTCCATTCTCCCGTCTTGCGGGTGATTAATTGGAACGTCCTGGCTAGTAAATTCTTCTTTGCTTTTTTGCTGGTTTTGCAGGTGTCGTGGATCAAGCGGAAGAACGTACAGGAGTTACTGACCGTAGGACTGACGACGTACGCCAATGACGAGCGGTTTCAGACAAGTCATTTCCAACACAGCGAGGACTGGACTCTTCAAATAAAATACGTTCAACCGAGGGATGCCGGGTTGTACGAGTGCCAAGTGTCTACTCATCCGCCCACGAGTATATTCATGCTTCTCGTGGTCGTTGGTAAGAGTAAAATTTAATCAGGGAGTTAATTATCAATTATATACATTCAGCCGCGTTCTCTTATTACTCGTGAGGCTCAGATCGCGTTCCTTTGTCATTCTAACTCGTATTTTCTCGAGCAAAGGATCCCGCGGATGGTAACGAATGTTCCGCGCGTTTGAGGCAGAAAGTTACGCTTTACACTGAAGAAGTTTTCATAGCGAAAATATTCACTTCGTAATTAACGGCACCGGCATTTTCATTTGGTAATTTTTAACATTTTTGTTTTCGTGTACGCTCATAAACAGATGCGAGTTGGCCGAATAATGAAAAACTATTTCTCTCTACTTTCCCTCTCCTTTCTCTGCTTTCCTCCTCTTTCCCGCTCTTTCTCAGCAAAACTTGAATAATGTTTCGATGGGAGGAAAATCGGGACACGTTCGCAATAGGGGTAGATTTGTAAGATGCTTTGTATGGATATTTATCGTGAGAGAAACGATGGAAACAGAAAAGCAAAATGTTCTTTTTAGGACATAGGTACATTTTTCTGAGTTTCATTTAAAATCGGAAAAATGTTGCAGAGAGGAAAATCTGATTTGCAGCCGACTAAATTTTCAAGCGTCTCGAAATTTCGTACTGACATCCTCCGTCGTGAATGAATAAATTTAAGTAACGTTATTAATTAAAATGAGTTATTAATTAGTTTTCTACATCTGTATGATATTATTTTGTGCAATAAAAATAATTCCTACTTATGAAATGATTGATATCGCGAGAAACTAAGCCAATATCTCTACAAATGAGGTTAAGATCACACACGTCAACTCGCTGTGACGGATATGGTATGGGATAAGATCCACTTGACGTTGCAAACGCTTCAAAGCACTGTATAGACCAATTTTCCTCTACACATCCTAAAATGTTTACGGTCCCAAACGGATTGTACTCACAATTTAGCACAATATCGGAAATGATAGATTCATATCCTAATCCTAAAGAACCTAAAAATTAATTATATCAATGTAAATATAAAATAACTAAAATCCCATATTCTAGATTTCTTCTAAAATAAGACAACAACAACAAATCATATTTATTAGAATATAGTTTTAAACGATGAAACGTTTTTCAAGCTTCACGAATGTATATGTTATGTATGTTGCTAACCTATCTTGGGTTGTTTGCGAATTCTATTCTGAGAGAGGCCCACAAGGAGTTGCTGCATATTTATATCTCAATCATTACAAAAAATGTACGGTTCACAAAATCGTTAATTACGTTAAATATGAGGAAATAAACATAGGGGAAACATAGGATTGTTTCTATTTCTTTTTTGCACAGCTAATCGCAGCAATTAACAAAACAAGTTAACAGAAAAAAGTTTTATCACCGAAGTTCTGAAAAATTTGTACACGTGCCCCGGTTTCCCTTACTGTTTACCAGTATTCCTCTGTATACACCACTATTCCCACTTCTTACATATTTAACTCACGCTTTGCGCAAAGTAAATACGTACGGCTCGAGCAGTACGGCACGCACAATGCATCCAAGAGTGTGTAAATATAACGCACACTGCTCTCTCGTGTGCGGTTGCATGTATGTGTATCGTATATCTTGGCTTTCTGCACAGAAAGGGGAGAAAACGTGAAGAACATCTTCACTCGTAGCCGAACAATACTTTTGTCCGTCCATTGATAAGATCTCGTCTATGAGCAAGAACTTGTCGCTTTCCTCTCTCTCTCTCTCTCTGTTTCTGTCTCCCTCTCTCTCTCTCTCTCTCTCTCTCTCTCTCTCTCTTTCTTTTGCTCTCCTGTTGCTTATACCGTCTACTTGGCTACTTCGACAATTTGTGCACTCTTCTGCGCATTTTCCAGAAGACATTCCTCGCATAACTTCTCTATCCCATTCTCGGTTCAAAGCTACGATTTAAGTGCAAGTTGGGGAAAGCCTCAGCGCGTTCCTAGCTTCGCGCGCGATCCGTCCGTGCCGTTACCTGGCGACAGGTATTTTTATTTAGATTTTATTAAGCGGCACAGGCAGGATCGATAGCGCGAAAATACTTTCCCGTTGTCGCGGGAATTTCATGAAATACGCTCTCGTCGACAGCCGCTCTCCTCTCATTCTCTTCACTCGCCCTCTCTCCTCCCTCTCCCTCTCTCCCTCCCCCTCTGCGCTGCACGCGCGGCACCCGCATATTTGCATTTAGATTCGGCTTTTTCCGGCGCGCATCTCTTATGCGCGAGGCTATCTAATTTCCTCGGGATTTCGGTGCCTTTTTTCGACGTCGCGCGCGGTATTACACGATCTCGCCACCCTTTTCCTTGGGTATTCTTTCGATATTTATGCTCGCGCGCACGACATGCACCACCGTGCTTCACCCTTTCGCCCGGCTTTGACTTTCGGCGCTCTTCATCGCTCTGGTACGTGATTTAGGAAATTCTTGCCGAGCTATAACGCCCGCCGTAGTGCCGTCAGCGTATAAGTCAATATTACTCTTCGGGAATATTTTTCCGAGCATTTTTACTGATCCGCGGAATATCTCGGAGAATTATCCGGCAGACATCGTAACATATTTCGTGCGTGTTATTTTCTTTGGGTGTTCGCTCTGGGCTCCATGGCCGTGTTCTTTGCCGAATTACGTTTACATAAGCGGGCCTTTCTTTTCTGCTCCTTTCATATTTATGTACTGTCAGACCTGGAATACATCGGATAAATTTCTACCCACTCACGATTCTCCCGATGTTCTTAGCACCTCGAGCGAAAGAGGGTGAAAACAATTTGAGATATCGAATGCGGCGGATCAGGCTCCATATTGAACGGACTGATTTTATATTACGTTGGTATCACTCGAGAGAGTGAGCGGTGGAAGTTGATGCCATAAAGTAGAATATGCGCGTTTTGAAGACGACGGCTCAACAATTCGCGAAGTATGTACTTTAACAGCCGCTACTCGAGTCTATTCTTTAGTATGAATCTTGATTGTATTATTTAACACTCTAATTATTAATTAACCGTTACTTATAGCCTGGGTGGTTTTTTGAGCGACTTTTACAGCCTTTAAACTAGAACTTTTTCGTATATATCAAAGGGTAGATCAGTAAGAAATATGAGACTCCCGTCGCGCCACTATAGTGGCTACCCGGATCGTACGATAACTTTTCTTTTAAGTTGACTTCTTCTTTTATTCAACAACGCAAAAACATCTTTTCGTAATAAAAATTGTAATAAAAATGAAAGAGCATAAATTTATTTATTTTTGGCAAGATTGTAGAACAATTATACAATAAAGTAAAAATGTCTGTGACTATTTGCATAAAGTTTAAAGTTTATTATTGTTAAAACATTAGAAATTTGTAGGATATACATATTGTACGTTTTTTATTTTTTCGAATTTTTTACTTAAAACATCGTTAATTTCTTTTTTTACTAATTTGTTTGAGAAAAGTGACGGGAATAATAATAATAATAATAATAATAAGAGGAATGGTAGTTGTATTTTACAAAATTGCTGCCGCACTACTATAGTGGTTTCCTAGATTGTAATAATTATGAACAGAATCGTTCATAAATTCAAAAGGTGCAATGCGATATAATTTATGTGAGACACGACTAAACTGTAGCGAATGTACGCGTATACGCTTTTTACATATTCCCAAGTTACATATCTCCAGTGTCCGACTTACTTTCCTACGACAAATCGCCTGTGCTCTGATTACATTTCTTCGTTTATATACGAGAGTTAATTTATGCCAAGTTGTTTATAATGCGCACTCCAATTCCTGACAGTACATATTTTATGTATGCAGCACCGTAATTTTCTCGAGATGTTGGCCCATGTTTTTGCTCGCCGGGCATCTTGGCGTTCTACACGTAGCTAAGGTCTTTTCTTTGCGTGCCTTTAATATTTATGTTTTTCCGTGCTCTGGTCCGCTGAACTCGAGGCGTTTTCACGTTGTTGACCTTTCAATCGCGCGAAAGGTTCGCGAACGGGAGACTTTCTAATGAAGCACCTGGTTGCTACACACGTGACGGGAGATCGACGGAGGCGTCTGCCTCTTCGCAAACTGTCGCTTTCATTGTTTGAGTTTGGAAGACATTCGAACGCGATCTCTTATCTTCCAAATCACAGACTCTATCTCTTAGTTAGTTCCCGAAGCAATTTCCACGGAGATTGACGAGTAAGTTCTATTTACTTTCGTTACTTGGTTCATTAAGTTTGCCCCCGGCACGAATCACAATCACGGTCGCGAGGAAAATAATTGGATTATTAACGTCGCGAGCGTAATGCCCGCGCCGGTCGTATTCGCGCGATCGCAATTCCGAGCTGCGAGGTGCGCGGGGCAGCGGCCCCGTGAAGAAAATTGAAATAAACCTGTCGAAATGTCTATATATCGGCGAGCACGACGGTTGAATAGAGAAGATCCGATTGAGGTACTAAGAATGAGAACTTAGGAAAAGGTGAGTTTAATGAAGGCGGCGAGTCGGAAGGAATCCGGCATAACTTTCGAATCAATATGATCGTGATATTGTCTTTGAAATGAAGATAGTTTTAAACTCGGCCTTAATGAGCCCTCATTAAAATACAATCGACGCGAGACGCGCCTGCGCGCTTGTTCATCTGTTCTCTAACTCCGGAGGTAAATTTCGCCCTTAGAGCGGATTACCAAGCCGCCCTCGGCGGAGCCATTCCGATCTTGATCACTCGATAGCGGCACATCGTCCTTAAGCCATGATAACCGGCGCGCAAGGGAACGCGCGCGATATTATGTTCCGCGGCACTTTATAAGCTGCCCAATTCTCTCCGTGTAACATCTCGAATTTCTAATTTACACGGGGGCTCTCAGTTTCCCATTTAATTACGCGGGTGTGCACGCTCGCGATAAGTTGCGGACGATACTTGAACGCATTGCGTTGTGCGCACGTCGACCGCCGTTATTAAACGCGGCGCTTCTTTCCACGCGCTAAGAGAGACTTTGAATTATTAACTCTCAGCGGGCCGATGCTACTTCTCCGATGATATCCTCTTCCCCTCCTCCCCTCAATCTCGTCACGTCACGCGATATTTATGCCGGTTTTATTACGCTTTTGCGTACAGAAACGGGGGTGACAGCATCCCGTTAGGAAATTAACGTTCCACGTTGGGATGCTGTTCCAATAGACGACAGTAAGCAACAACTAGGTACCTACAAACAATAGAGATCTGTCGAGTTAAAATATTTTGTGATGGAGCACAACGCTGTGAGTGTTTAACTTTCACACGATACACACGTTTTAGACCTTAATCTAACACACTGGGGTGGCTTTCAACCGCGCTTATTTACGACCCGTAAAAACGCTAATAAAAATTTATAAAAAATTAAAAAATATATTTTCAAGTCTGTAGAATGAAATTATGTAGAAATGATTGTAAATATTCACTTAAGTACTCCGTTTTACATTGCGCATGTAATGAGAAACGCGTTGAAAATATGAGTTTACATGAAAATTTGTAAAATAAATTTTTTGAAAATAAATTTAAGATATTAGTATCCTGGGATTTTTTTGTCAATATGTGAGTCTTAGAGAAAAGAATATTACATGTTTTAATTTGTCACCAATTACAATTATTTGGATACACAAAAATATGATATTTTTCAATCAAGAGACAAACAAAATAATTAATATTTTCAAGTTTATAGTGTAGCAGTATATTAATCTATTATATAACACGAATTTTATTAACATTACATTATTTACGAGAATTAATAACTATAGCTGAATCTTTCTTCCGCAATTAGAATTTGTTGGTATAGAAAACTTGTTTACATATATTATATAGACAAAAATTAATAAAAAGGCTACTTATATTTCTAATATACTTATATCTAACGTGAAGAATCAAAATAAACAATGAAAAAATATCTTTATTTTATACTTTGACGTTTTAATCTGAACATACGAGATCAAAAGTAACTCTTAGCAGAAGCAACTTTGCAATTTTTTATACTATATGATAAGCGATTTAAAATTTAATTCAGATACCGTACGATCTTGAACATTTAAATGTTAATTCAACAGTTTTTAAACCTAATATTTCTATTAATAATTATTATTTTTAGAGCATGAGCCGAAAGTCCTCACTTCACTGGTTTGTGGGTAATAAAAAATTAAAAATCATGTGAGTTCAAAGATGATCCCAGTATGTCAGATAAGGGTTCAACAATAGGGGATGAAAATTCATCACGAAAATTGGACACAAGAGACTGTAATTGAAAAATGTCGCGCTTTTCAAGAATGCTATCAAAATTCTTTGTCGCGACAGGGGTGGCCCGCGTAAATGTTCCAGCAAAGGCTGTCAAAAAATTGTTCAGGCAAGCAATGGACAAGAGGGCGCACGCTTCGGCGATTCGAAACTACATCTCCCGCAGGAACCAACGCCCATCCACTCCGCGGGAAAACCCTCAGACCGCATACGCATACACACAAACACAAACGTTTCGAATCACATCTCGACTATCGTTCGTGGCCATTCGACCGTGACAGTAGTCGGCTAGTGGTAAAAGCGTATCTGGGCTGGTGCGGGTGTTGCCGGCGTGTTTACAGTGTTCCCTCACACCTGATCCTATAATGCTCCACTAGCGGGGGCGCGCGACGTGTCAGGCTGCGTCGAGTGAAAGGGTGAAACGCGCCAGAGCGTGAGCGGACTTAAAATGCGCGCGGAGACCGCCGTCGTTACGCCCTCGCGAGATACACCGCAAAACGTGAGTCATCCCGACAGTATTTCTCAAAGTCAGAATCATGGTGCACGGAGGCACTGTTACTACATCCTCGGTCAAAATTCTACTCCAGCCAAAATGTAACAGCATGTAATAAATGCAGCTATGGATTACGGCGTTGTTATGTTATCAGAATCAAAAAGCGGCTTTCTCAGTTTTTAAGTCACATCGCGAGTCATTGAGAGAGAGAGAGAGAGAGAGAGAGGGATAGAGA